TTCTATGCTTCATGCCTCTATCACTTAGGAATAAGTGAAAAATTTCTTTCTGTAACCCAAAGCCCCATTCACTCTTCTCTCCTACTGACCCACAGTGTGAGCCTTATACTTTGTGATAATCAGCCCTCTCATTTTACCTCAAACACATTTACTCTCACCTGGAATCTCTATTCATATTGTTTCCTCCAAAGTCAATGTGATAACCTTCATATCTTGTGTAATATGGAATAACAATACCCTCAATATATTTTTATTTGTACAGTATAGGTAATGTGTTCATCTCAGGAGGCTACAGGGCAAAGTCTTGGTCATAAAAGTATTCAGAGAAAATTAATGAATTTCATATTTATACCCCAAACCTATCCTGAGACAGGAAGGTCATCAGTGAAGGACCACTCCTCTAAAATGAGAGTTCACTGTTTTAGTTATGACCATTTCACAATGAAATGAGAAATGCAAGGAAATTGGGCCACCAGTGCTAAGAGGCGTAATGCTCTTAGTGTATTTCTATCAAAGCAAGTTTGGCAACAGTGGTCAGAGGACATGGAGCATTTGGCTGTGACATTTCTTTGAAGTCCAAAGTTTTATCTTAAAAAAAATCGCAAATTGTACTTTCTAATCCCTAACATATAAAATTATTTTTCTGAGTAAAATTAGCCCTTCAGAAAGACATTTCACTGGGGACTCTGTGTGTCCTGTGGAACAATAATCCATCCCCTGTTTGAGAAACATGAGCTTAAGGAGACCACAGGGTCTCTCCCCAAGTTGATGTAGCATGCTATTTTTAATAATCCCCATAGATCAAGTTATTGAAGAATATCAATGAAACCCCCAGGCAACAAAGAAGAAAGTCCCTATGGACAACATGGAAAATTACAGGCTCACTGGAAGAGAGACCTGTGAATTCTCAACAGTGGCAAACATGAGGCATAAGTAGGACCAGCACAGAATCTCTACACAATGAAAAATAAGCCCCTAGGATCTTAGGGTACAAGGCAAGTAAAATTAGTCATGCAAGAAGCTCTCACACTGGACCTCCACCTTAGAGCCAGGAAAGGAGAGATCTCTGTGCCCTCCATGCAGATGTCCTTCAGGATCATCTCGGAAAGATTTGTGGTATTAGGGGAAAAATAAAATTCCTCCGAGTGTTTAGATCACCATGGAATTCACGCACTCTAAAAATCAGTGCGCTGAGGGTTCACAAAGTCATTCCAGGTCTTCCCTCTCTTGGGAAATGGCTTAGGCACCCAGAAAGTTTCTAATTTTGTAGAGAAGTTGAGCAAAATGGTATGGAAATAGTTCTGTCCACTGAGACTGGAATAACATGGTGTGTTTTGTTTTATTTTGTTTTGTTTTTGTCTACTCTCAGTTCTATCTTCTTTAACCATTCCATTACTCATCTGCACCTGGAAAGAGTGACATTAAAAAAGAAAAGAAAAAGTCAAATTCATGTGTATGAAGGCTAAGATTTCATACAGAGTTTAATGATGGATATATTAGGAAATGCATCTTACAAGTACATTGAAATTATCTGTGAAATTCATTTATCATGCTTTCCCTGCTACTAAAAGTTTTTCTACAAGTTTGTTTGTTGTTTCTAATATCAGCCAAAGTAGTCTGTATCTTGAACACATAAACTAAGTCCTGTGCATCTAGTTTTAGAGTCAAAGTCTATGAATCTAAGTTCAGAATCCTGGCTGATGCTGTTACATTCAATGGTAAGTAGCTGCTCTCTGCTCTCTCCTCTGGTTGAGAAGTTTCTTGTCTGGAAAGATGGAAAATGTGTACAATTCCTATAGTGGGGAATCATTCTTTCATGGAACCTCACTAAGATGACCTTCAATGAAGGTTTGTTTAGTTCTTAATAATCATCCTAGTTGAAAAATCAAAAGTCATTTATCCTCATCTTTCAGTTTCCTTCTTATCTCGGTTTCTGGTCCACCAGATCACAGCCTGCTTTAACATGATCAGCTCAACAGGGAGGTTGTGCTGCTTCTAGATGGGTTTCATAGTTCACTTAATATATTACTAATTTATTGAGCCTGCAACAGCTGCATAATCATAAATATATTTATTTATTTAATGTGATTTCAATAACAGGAGAGGTTTTTTTATTTACATTCAATGAGTACTATAAATTTTATATATAGATATGTGTATACACACACGCACACACACACACACACACATATATATATATATAAAGAAGGTTTAAGTCTAACTCTTCTCATCAATCAAAAATGTTAACAGTTTCTTGTTAAATTTTTTTTTGGCTATCACAATATGTTAAAAATACCATTGTACTCTTTTCTCTGAGTTGTTTTTGATTCATAAAAATATATCTTCTTGGGCTGGGGCTGTAGATCAGTGGCAGAGTGCTTGCCTTGCATTTGTGAGGCACTGGGTTCAATCCTCAGCACCACAAAAAATAAATAAAAATATGTGTGTGTGTGTGAGTGTGTGTGTGTGTGTGTGTGTGTCTAGTAGAAGTAGAAGTAGTTGTAAATGGACAGCATGCCTTTGTTGTAGATCTATAGATAGATAGATATCTTCTTTGGTAATGATCTAAGGAAACAAGGAAAATTTTTAGAATGTGAGGAAATTAATTTTTGAAACAACATGTTTGTCTTGTACTTTGTTACTTTGAATATTGAGGGGTTTTTTAAAATGAACTAAAACAAAATTTCCCAAATAATGGATTTTAAGGGAAAATTCTGGCAGCATTAATAGAAAAAACTTTAAAAAAGAAACTCTTTTGTTATTGTAAATTTTTTTCTTCAATACCTCTACGTTACATTTGTCTTCCAATGAAATGCCTCTTTTTAAATGTATGTGAATTATGATTAATTACCATGTGAAATTAATCATCAGGGAATGACTAATAATGACTTTTCTTTGCTAAAAGAAAATGATTAATTACCTAATTCTAAATGAGCTACAGCATCATATAAATCTCTTTAATTGGGTAAAACAAAATATATTTTAAAAATTCCATGTGTATATCCTTATTGGTTTTCTTCTAGTACTTAAAAAAAAACTGATTGAAGATGAATTTTCCTAATGGTGAAAGCTCCAGAAAAAATCTGAAATAATGTCAAAGCACAAGCCACTATAATTTGTAGTAAGCCTCAAATTCAAATCTTTTGAAAATGATGGCATACACTGCATGCAGTAACATACCTATAATCTCAGTAACTTGGGAAGCTGAGGCAAGAGGATCACAAGTTCAAGGCCAGCCTGGCAACTGAGCAAGACCTTGTCTCAAAATAGAAATTTTTAAAAAGGGCAGGAAAATGTAGCTCAGTGGTGGATCACCCTTGGTTTCAGTCTCTAGAACAACAACAAAAAAAAAAGTAAAGAAAGAAAGAAAGAAGAAATGATGGCATACATGTCCTCATATTTTGAAGTGAATAGCACTATATAATTGTCGTGTATGAGTAGCTTTCACTGAAAAACAAACTACATATAAAACAAATCATTTTTACCTCTATTTCAAAATTTCTGTCTCCTGCCCACCCCAACACTGGAGATGAAAACCATGGCCTCGCACATGATAGGGCAGGCACTCTACCACTGAGCTAAGGAGGATGAAATTTAACTGAGTTTTGTCTAGTACTACCGCAAATTCAAACAACCTAGAATTTATGGAAAAAAAAATAATAATTAGGCCAAAGGGCACATTCAGAATAGGGCAGGATTTGTTTAAGACTTGTTTTAGAACAGCCAGTATCTTTGCCTGCATGAGTCAAACTCCTTGTCTCAAGAAAAGCTTCAAGACATTTCAGCAGCAAAGTAAATCATTATTATCTATTTTCTCTCCAGAGTCAGGGAATCATGAATAAGTCAGAGAGAGCTACAGTGGCACATTTTATCCTATTGGGCTTTCCTGGTCCCTGGAAAATGCAGATCACCCTTTTCTCAGTGATTTTCTTGGTCTACATGTTGACTCTGAGTGGGAACCTGGCCATCATTTGTGCGGTGTGGTGGGACCACCGACTCCATACTCCTATGTACATACTCCTAGCCAACTTCTCCTTCCTGGAAATCTGGTATGTGACTTGTACAGTACCCAACATGCTGGCCAACTTTCTTTGGGAAACTAAGACCATATCCTTCTCTGGCTGCTTCACTCAGTTCTACTTCTTCTTTTCCCTGGGCACAACTGAATGCTTCTTCCTCTGCATCATGGCTTATGATCGGTATCTGGCCATCTGCCGCCCACTGCACTATCCCTCCATCATGACTGGCCAGCTCTGTGGTATTTTGGTGTCACTTTGTTGGTTCATTGGTTTCCTTGCATATTCTATTCCCATTTTCTTCATTTCTCAACTTCCTTTCTGTGGTGCCAACATCATTGATCACTTTCTGTGTGATGTGGAACCGCTGATGGCATTGTCCTGTGATCCAACACCCATTGTAGGCCATGTATTTCATTCTATGAGTTGTTTCATCATCATTCTCACCATTTTATATATCCTTGGATCCTACACCCTGGTGCTCAGAGCTGTGCTGCAGGTTCCCTCTTCAGCTGGACGACAAAAGGCCTTCTCTACCTGTGGATCTCACTTGGTCGTGGTGTCTCTGTTCTATGGAACTATAATGGTGATGTATGTGAGTCCCACATCTGACAACTCATTTGCCATTCATAAGATCATCACACTGATATACTCTGTGGGGACACCAGTCTTAAACCCTTTCATCTACAGCCTACGGAACAAGGACATGAAATGTGCCCTCCATCATGTCATCTGTGGTATGAGAATTATCCACAGCTCATGATAGGGTTTGAATAACCCAGTGACACTCTTTGCACAAGTTGAAGGCTAATTATAGCCATCATAGTCCTTTTGTGTAAATCAAATTCACTATCTAATCATATTTTGATGAGCTTCCAGTTTCAGAAATGTGTTTCCAGGATCTCACACCAGGCAGAATGGCAGTCATCAAGAATACAAACAATAAGAAATGCTGGAGAGGACTGGGGAAAAAGGAACACTTTTACACCACTGGTGGGACAACAGTATAAATTAGTACAGCCACTGTGGAAATCAGTATGGAGGTTCCTCAAGAGACTAGGCATGGAATAACCATATGACCCACCTATGCTACTCCTCAATATTTATCCTAAAGAATTAAAGTCACCACACTATGGTGATACAAGCACACCCATGTTTATAGAAGCATAATTCACACTAGCTAAACTATGGAACCATGCAAGTGTTCATCAACAGAATGGAAAATAAAATGTGGTATATATACACAATGGAGTTTAATTCAGCCATAAATAAAAATAAAATTATGTCACTTGCAGGACAATGGATGGAATTTGAGAATATTATATTAAGCAAAATAAGCCAAACTCAAAAGGTCAAGAGTCACAGTTTTACAGGTGGAAGTCAGTAAGGAAAAAGGAAAATAAAGGTGAAGCAGAGTGGAAGGGCTAATGAAAATTGAAGATAGTTCAGTAGAGTAGAGGAAAGGTATGGGGGAGGGAGGGAGGGAGGTAAAGGGGAAATACTGGGCAGTGATATTGACCAAATTATATTGTATATTTTATACATGTACAAACATAAAACAACAAACCCCACCATTGTGTGCAATTATAATGCATCAGCAAAAAAAAAA